ATTTTACTCCATTCTTGAATCACTGGTACTTTAATTTTCCATCACAAAAAATGTATAAAATTTCTGAAAATTTATTAAGTTCGACATTAAAAGGTTTTCATAACCTTCACTATTTAATACCAATAAACCCCATTTTTGACGAGCTTTCATTTGATATAAAATTCATTAAGTCTTCTATTTGAAATTATAGCGTTACTCCCCTGGAATAATATTTTTTCCAACCGTGTACATGTAGAACTAAATATTATTGATATCATAGATTATTGCACAATTACTATCCTACATCAATTTTCTGAATTATAATAATTGTTCTTGGTCAATCATAATCAAACTTTAGCATCATCTTATTAGAAAAATATCTCATTGTCAATAACTTCCTACGGATTTGTTCAATTTCATCAAAAATTCCTCATGGAATCATTATATATTCTAATACATCTATATATAAAGCTTTACATCAATTAATAAGAGACGATGATATATGTTAAACTCAAAATTTAAACTAGTTACGTTACAAATACAGAAGCTTCGATGATTATATCAGTGATAAAAACCTATTGGTTAAATGTTATTGATCTTGATGCAACTATAATTGAAAATATTTATTACATGCGCTTCGTGTGTTTTTCATTTCTTTTGAAATGTAATATAGAATATTGAGATACAGGGAGTCCTGCTTCAGAATTTTAAGCAAACAAAAAGATTTCTTTAACTTCTCAAATCTTTGTATGATAATTAGAATATTATAGTAGATGAAATATTACTCATTAGATGTTTACATGACAATAGAATTATTATCTCTTAAATGACTTTTTCAACAGAAATTACTCACGAAAATTTGGACTGACTCCAGTATTTGTTCCTTCCATATTGTCATCGTTTGTATCGTCATCATCGGATACCTGTTGCATGCGTTTTACAGATTTAATTTTGCCAGATATCCATTCTGCCGTACTGTTAAATGTATTGCCTGTAACAAGTAATTGAATATCTTGTCCGACATTAGCTTCAAGTAAATCTTCTACAGTCCAACATTCTTTATCAACAAATTTACGTGTTTTTTTTGTACGAATAGAACCAATTGAAGCTAAATAAACACATAATATTATAAATATATGTGACAAAATAACATACTTTTATCTGATAATGATTGTATCCAAAATGTTCCATGTACAGGATTTGATGGTGGATCCAGAAGTTCTACAGGTTTGTTATCATGACTTTTACTTGAAGGAAATTCAAATGTTTTAACAATCATTCCATAACCATTTTTGAATAAATAAACATTTGATGCATGTGATGGAGTTTTATTATTGGTAGTAGCCATTGAATATAATTAATTGAATGTTTTGAATAAAATTTGTAATAAAAATTTTTATGAAACACGTATGAGTTTATATAGGTAGTATTTCTTTTTTATGGTGCAATACTTATTGCCAACGTGTCGCACTAAATATAAACAACATCATGTTATAACGGTAAAGGAAGAAAGAAAACATTTTTTATTATTATTTATTAATCGCATGAATTTTTGCTTGTTAAGTTCACCACAATTCTTCTTCTGTATAAAGAAAGAAGACTCAATAAAAAAAATAAATTTTGTTGTATGGATTTTGTATTATCAATCTTTTCAGTAAAATAAATGTTAGTCATCGAATATTAAATTCGGTGTATTTTATTTCCAAATGATAATTGTTGAAATTAATTGTTCTAGTATCACTTATATTAGAACGATCATAAACAAATTGGCAAAGCACAAGATTCTGTTATGACATCTAATAATGAATAATAGAATAATTAGTTGTAACCCGAATAAGGAAGGTGTAACATCCCCCCCCCCCCCCCGTGATAGTGAAAAACTTTTGGTTCTTTTTTAACAGAGTTGAAGATTTTTTTTGTGCATTCTGTTAGAAGAAAGATATTCTCTCTTTGCAAGAAAAAAAAACAAGACACAGCTGGCTCTCAATGTTTGACTGCTTCGAGCCACTATTGGAAATAATTGCTATGAGAATGCGTTTACAATAAATTGTGAAGATGAATTAAATTCAAGGAGAAAAAAATATAATATATTTGATGATGTGAAGGATTATTTTGAAAGATTGATATTTACATACTTTTATGATTATATATGAGATTCTCATCTGATAGGTAACAATCTCTTGTGTTATTAAAATCAAATCGAAGGATCTTTTAAATTTGAATCTATCTAACATATTCAAGGACAAAATGATTGTAACGACATACATGCTTTCTAATGACTTCATCATAAATGCTCTGATAACTTTATGAATTGTTAATTACTATACCTTTAGAATTTGCAAATAGGTCAAAAAGAAAATAATTCGAATTATTTCGGATAAAATTACTTTATTTTCAAGCAAATTCGATAGAAATAACGTCAAAATAACAAATATTATTATATCAGTAGACATTTTTACGACATATTTCGCTTAACTCTGGTTAAGTAAAGTGAATACACTCACTTAAAATCTTAAATGTTTTGTAAATTTAAAGTTAATTATACTACATCTCACAGAACGACTGACTAGGTAGACTAACTAAGACCTTGAAAAGTCACCAATTTTATTATTCTATAGCTTATAAGGACATCTACTGTTGAAAATTCGAAGTTGATTTGTCATTTTTTTTTGATTAAAGCCAACATACAATAACAGTAGGTAAAGATATCTTGTAAAGTTTTCTTGTAGATCTTTCAATTTTTTTTCTTTTTTAAATACTGTCGATATGAAGGGTTACTCATTTGTCCAATGAATCATCTGGATCAATTACGCATAAATATAATATATATTGATGACCTTCGAGCAAATCATTGAGAATGAAGGATAGAAAAGGTTAAAAATTATGAGAATTATTTTGCGATTTCCTATGAGTAATCTGATGAATTTATTCGAACGATTTATGTCTCATAGAATGAGATGATGTCTGTATAACACAGGTGCAGCACGACCGATAGGGGGGAGGGAGGACACCCTCCTCTTACTTTTACAAATTTTGACGGTAGTTTTCTCTCATTTCGAGGACTGTTCATGATGAGCTCTCTCCGAGTTTGGTGGAATTAGGACTATATTTTGCATTGATATGTAGAGATTTAGACTAGCCTTTGACGGCAAAATCGATTTATCTATTTTCGGAAAATTTAGTACGAGTTCGATAGTTTCTAACAAAATCCGATAGTTAACGTTTTGATTAACAATTGTCACGAGCGTGTTTCATTTAGGGGGATTCACCCATAATATCATGCTTTGTTTATTGTTATCCTGATAAGTACACTTTTCGTTAGATATATTTAACACGTGATTATTTTGAACTTTGTCCTGGTATAGTAAGCAATTTTCAAAGTTCACCGCTGCGGATCAAGACCAATAGTATGATCATAAGTTGACTTTTATCTCTCTTAGACTGACTATTTAATACTTAATGATTTTAATCAAAAGAATTTAAGTTCGATTAATTAACATTTAATGAGCAAAACGCAGTGTTTAGTCTTCTTTGCTGTTCGTTATTAATAGAAATAGACTTAGCATTCGTATTTTGTTTTTGTTTTCTTATTAACAAAATTTACATTTTTGATTTTTAAATTTAAAATCAAAATGTCTAAAAATAAAAGAAAAACTTATCTATTACTTTGAAATAAGAGAGAGGATTAACTAAGTAGCTGCTAACAATAAATAGTTAAACAATCTGAAGGACTGCATCTCTATTCTTTCCAGTTAATTGTTACATCTGTAATTCTTTTTTTTGAAGAAAAGAATAACTGTTCAAGTTTCAGACAACCTTTTACATGAATATGATGGTGAGAACATAGTAGTCAATAAACGCAAATTAATGATAAGAAAATTTGAGTTTTTTATAGATTACGTTGAGTAAATTTTTTTTTTCTTAATAAAACATATTACACTAATTTGAACCTTGTATTACACGCGCAAGTGATGCAATACTCAGGCTTCCATATATCATGCCTTTGAGAAAAATTTAATTCAAGCGACAATGGTTTTGTGGCTGAAATGTCCACAATTGTGAGAGGAGAGACAAAATAGATCTACCCAATATTTTATTGCTTCCACCAAAAATTTGACCTTGGGCTGCCCACACTCAGTTATAACTCACTCGGAACACTATTGCGTTGGGCCACATGTTTCTCCCATTTTGGAGATATCTCTCCTGCTGTTTGTGACATCTTCGCGATACCACTGGTATGACTAGAACTTTCCTTGGATCTAAAGAGATCTTATAAACATTTTATGAAAATAATCTGTAAAAAATTGAATTAGATTTATCAAATCAAGAAGTTACATCTGTTTTATTTTCTCTTCTATAGATCAATTAGAATAAATCATGTCGTCTAGTAAGTATCTATCGAATTGATCCATAATTTATTTTTTTAAAAGAAATAGTTCTTGGTTTTTTTGTTTTGTTTTTTAAGTTTCTATGAAACAACCCAGTCAAATTGGTCCGGGCAATGATATGGATATGATAAAAAGTTACGGTGGTTCCACAGAAAATCAAGAGTCTTCAACTATGCATGGAAGTAATGTTAATAAGTTTTTCTTCAATAAATATAGAGTTTCGTCTGGTATCATTTTAGGCGGTATTGCTGTACATACGGTACCAACTGCAGAAATTAATAAAAATCCTGAAGGAGAATTGTATGTTAGATAGTTTTTTGAATGTATTTTACACATGTTACTCATATTTTGTGTTTGTTTCTTTAGAAAATCAGATAACGATCAAATTAAAAAATAATTGTTGATAACTTTTGATATTAATAACTTTTTTATTCTAGCGAGAATGAATAGTTTTGGGCAATTTTTTTTTAAATTCAAGTAGTAAACCAGCATATTGTTGTTTATTGTTAATCTAGCAATTTGTTTTAAGATGAAAAGTTTGAAATGATGTGTCATATTTGATTGTTATGCAAAAAATAAATTGTTTTTAATAACGAGCTATATTTTGATAAATTTTATCAAATGAACTAAATTCCAGTTATCTCGGTAGACAAAGTCATCAACGATGTATCTTATTTATTTTTTTTTTGTGCTCGTATTATTTCATGGAGGATGTGTAATGAAACTTTGTTGAAAGTTGACTATATCAAATATCATTATCCACAGATGGAATAATGCAATAGCTCATTAGCTCAGTGTCGGTATGAATTTCAGGCTGATCGTTCTACCGGTTACTTGTCAATAACCGTTCCAGTTCAGTCTGCTTAGATCGGTACCGGTGGTGCGAAACCCAGACTGATACCATCTTCGTCTTAAATACGAGCTGAGGAAAATCTTAGATGCAAGCTAGATTCATCATCAATAATAAATCTTAATTTATTGAATCAATGTATTGTTGTCATTTACTACAGTTACAAATTGTTCATAATTGATTATAATGAGAACGTTGAAATAAAAACGATATTGACAATAATAGAAAATACGACGAAGAATATGATTAGAGCATTAACTTTGATTATACTACAAAAGATGATTAGGGTGTGCTTGTGGAAAGTGCGTGGATATGGATAAGGAGAAAATATCTACACCAAAAAACACACAACGCGCACTTCAAACTAATGCTGACACGGATACATCAGGACATCCACACCCTAAATCAAAAATGTCTTTTAGATGTAAGAAGAAGTAAAATGTCAAGTGCCTTTTATTTTCTGGAATAAATGTAAACGAACTACACGGGAAAAAATAGAAACAGAACCTATTCTACTGCATGAATATGTGACGAGTTTGAATTAAAGCATATTTTCAATATCTGTTCAGTGTTGGTTGCAATGGAGTCACCTTCTTATTCTTAGTAGAACGAAATATATATTGTCTGCCCAATACGTAGACATCAACAAGTGTCAGCAGGAAATTTGTAATAAGCCAGAATATGTACCATCCAAAATCAAATTTTGGTAAGTTTCCTTCGTTTAGTTCCATTGCACAAAGCACAATGATGGTTATCCCTATGGTGAAATGTTCTACTATATTGAGCATCCCAAGAGCTTTCATCCAGTAACGACCGATCATAGTCTGATATGAAGCTGTAAGACCATCTCTTTTATTTAGCCTGTTAAGATCATTAAATGCTTTGAGTAGAGAGGATGGAAGCATGCCAGATTGAGCAGAGACAACAGTGACGAATAAGTGAAGAATGAATAATGTTTCAAAGTACATATGACGAAAGCGGGAATCAGGACTGAGAAATAGAAAAGATATTTGAGACAGCGTAATGACTATTGTTATCCCATTTTTATAAATAGCATAAGCGAAGTCAACACCAGTCATTTTTTTAGAATTTGGACTAATGAGAGCAAAATTTGTGCCAGCCAACAGAAGCTGTAATAATAGAAAGGCAATTGTAACACCCAGGAAGACAACAGATGATGGTGCAGTTAATGAATTTCCATTATACAAAACACCATTGAAAACAATCAAATAAGCAGCTAATTCACCGATTTCAACTAATCCCGCTAGAAAAATGAGCACACGTTCATTAACTGTGACGCATTTGAAAAGTGAGCTGACACCATACATGCCAAACAAGACAAAGAATAATTTTCTTTCTTAATCACTTTCAACATTAGCTAGTTTTGTTAATGCATAAACAAAATACTGTTCTCCCAGATTTGTCAGGTCGATCAACAGAGAATTAATCTCAATGACATATTTGTCCCATGTCGGAGGAGGCTTTTTCACTGGCTTATTATTTTCCCATTGGCCACAATAATAAACTTCACCATTAGGACCTGTCAGTGCACCATAGCCATGCTTTTGATGGCTTTGAAATTCGCCATCGTAGGTTGTACCATTAGCATGCGTGATAATCCCTTCTCCATGAAATTTATCGTTTTGCCACTCTCCAACATATTTAACACCGTTTAAGCCTATAAAAGTACCTTTCCCATGATATTTTCCTTCATAGAAACGACCATCATACTGTCGTCCATCGCTAAATGTTAAAATTCCATAACCATGTGGTTTGCCAGATAGATTCTTTTGACCAAGGTACCGTGTATGATTACTAATACTCATCATCGAAGAGAATATTACAAAAAATGACAGCTCGTTTCGAAATTTTTCTGTTTTAACAAAATCCAACGTGCATTCAATGAAAAGTAATACCCTATCATTTCTTTTCTACTCATAAAATTTTTGTTGCTTATTGTTACTCATTCAAATAGTACTACGAAAAATGAAACATAATCTTCTCCTTCTCTTCTGATAATAGATGCTGCTTAAAAAAGGAACGAAAAAAGTATGTGATACGTTTTGCCGTAGCATGACAAAAGAGTTTTATTTTGTGTAGACATTGTAGCAAATTATGTATCGTCAATATCGTTATTGCTTTATTTCACCAAAAGCCGCTGTGAAAAGGAAAGAAACCAGTGTCTCTACATGAATAAAACACAAACGGGTATGCGCAAAAATAGAAAGGTATGAGTGTTGGCGTGGGCTTGAGTGTTTCTTCATGCCGGGTGTTTTCACCTCAGCCACATTTGCATCCACATCTCGCACCCATGTTCACATAATTTCATTACAGGGAGATATACAGTGTCAAAATAGATACCACTAGTATGCACGAAAAGAGTATAGAAAATAGCTAAAAATGCTCCCTCATCAATGTGATCAATTTTGACATTGTATGTCTCTCTGCAAAAAATGATGTACCTAGTTTCCAAGCATCTCATTTTGTCGCAAAAAGTGTCTATTATTGGTATCTGTTGTCGAAAAAATCAGTCCTGTATGTGTTTCAAATATTCTTACTAAAATACTAAACTTCGGTGATGTTTACAAGCTATTTTGGCTCGGCGAATAAAATCTGATTTTAAATTCAAATATAAATGATTTTTCAAATTTTTTTGATAAAAATATTCCGTAGAAATTCCTCTATCTGTATATGTGACTTTCAAGAAAAATTGAAATGATCTTGATACTAAAACAATGCAATTACGATATTGATTCTATAATTTTTCAAAGGCAAAAACTGATCGATATCAACAAATATTTATTTTCTCAAACTTATTCACAGCGTTAAGAAATCTGGATTCATTGTTGGCTAGAGCATACTCGAACACATGTAGTCATATAGACTTTATTTCTCTTGAAAGTCTAAACTAGCAGAGAACAAGTAAACAACTGGAATCGAACAGGCGTTTCTATAATTTTTCATAGCACTATATACATTTGTTTTACTGGGTGTCAAATTAGAATTGATATATGAATTTATTTGATAATCATAGAAAAAGTAAAAATAAACTTATGAGTCTATTAAAGCCAAATAGCTTGACCCTGTTGAGGAAAGATGAAATTAAAATATGAAGCATCTCCATTTGAAAGTTGTTCAATAATTTTCTCACGTGCTCCTTTTTCCGGTTTGATATGTGTCACAATAATTTTAACATTTTTCATTGAATAATAACTTCTTAAAACATTAAGTTCTTTCAAAAGCCAATTAGGTGTCAAATGTCCGAATAATAAATGATCTGGACGTTCATTTGGAAATGAAACTTCAATAAAAATAGCTTTTAATTGATCAGCAATAACAAGAGGAGCCATTTCTTTCCATAATTGACTAAGATATCTAGGTGAATATGTTGTATTATCCGGTTGTATTATCTTTTCAACATCATCAGGGCCAGTATCACCCAAATAAAGAACAGAAGCTGAAGGTTGATAACGACGAGAAATAAGAAAAGCTGAACTAAGATACGGACAAGTATGACATAAACGAAAAATACGAACATTAAAATCAGTATTAGCTATTGGAACTGATGTTGTTGATAAAGGATCTAATATTTGATAATCATATGTCTAATTAAAAGAAAAAAGAAATGCGAATAGAATATTCTTATATTCAATTTTGACTAACTTTAAGACCTGTTGAACCAAAATCAGCCCATGCTTGATTATTAAAATAACTTTGTCGAATAATATTAATTGTTTCATTAAGTCCAATAATAAATTTTCCTGATTTATCATTTGGAGTATTAAGAATAAATCCACTATTATGATCGAGATGACCATGTGATATTAAATAAGCTTTTATTTGTTCTCGAATAAATGTTTCTTTATCTGTATCTGCTGGTAATGAATTCTGTTGAATTGCTATTCTATAAATATTCATTAATCAATATTAAAAATTTCGAAAAACAAAAAATTTTATTTTCTTTACTCAATTCCATGTCGAATAGTACCACCATCAAGTACTATATATGCTGAACTTGGATTATTATTATTATTTACTGATGTAAGTAAATAAGATGATAGATTGTTTTCATCGAGACCACCAGTTGTACCAAGTGGAATAACATAGAAAGATGGTGAACTTTGTTTAACATGTGTTTGTCTTGCATTAACAGTAACTATAATGATTGGAATAAGTGCAAGAATAATCATACTAATACTAAAAACAAAATGTAAATTATATTTAATATATAAGTCGATATTTTCGATCAAAATATATTTATATGTATTTATGTAAAAAAATATTCAGCCATCTTCTCTACATTTATAACTCTTTTTTTTCTAATTAAAATTCTAATAGTATGCTTATTTCTGAAGAAGTTTTAATCGATAAATATCGAGAGGATGTCAAAAAACAATATCAAGGTATATATTTTCAATCAGATATTGTTGGCATATTTACCCAACGATGTTTGCGACGGCAATTTTGTTTCTCTTGGTAAGTGCCATTAGTAATGAGATATATGTATATGTGTACGAAATCAATTAATTCGAACAACTAAAAGTAAAATATTTCTACTAGTAAACCATCATTGATGATTTTAAATAAGGATAAACTCAAATCATTAAAGGCTCTACTGACGACAAGAATCTGTTAATCAACTTAAAAACTAATAAATATTATATACAAAAGATTTGTTAAAATAACTCGCTATTTAAAAATTAATTTTCAATTATTTTTTAAAATGTAATCAATTATTCAATCAACTTTTTATAAAAATATGAAGAAAAACATTCACTGAATTTTTTATGAATAAAAAACATGAATTAGTTATTACTAGTGAAATACAGTCGACGATAATTGAAATTATACCCTTTGACTTTTTTTGTTTTTTTATTACTATACGTTTTTATCTATTAACTTACAATATATAGGAACAAAGTCCAGAACTTGCTGTATCTTTTCGTATATTTACTTTGAACGTCAAATGTAGTTTAAAATGTAAAAACTATATTAGAAAAAAAGTGACATTTGTTTTTATTACTTAGGGGTGACCCTTTATCTTTACTATCCTTTATAATAAAGGATAAAGATAAATGATCATTTATTTTTAAAAAATAAATGTAAATGAAT